AGGGTGTTGTGGACTCACAGTTATGTAAACAGCCAGCCTACACACAGTGCTGCTAACATCTTTACTCCAGTGTAAAGTAAAACATTGGTAACACTGTGTGTCACTGTATCACCCCAGCTTCAATCCCTGTTAGTGCTGCACCCATCAGCCATTAACACAGTCACTCTGTGTTGCATAAAAGAAGCAAATAAACTGCATATTGCGACAAAGCTCTAGTGACTCCAAATAGGCATTACTGGTTTCTTGTAATGGTTGAAAGCCCTGAAACATCTGCTCTTGGACAGCTGAATAGAGTGTTCCACTCAGAGGCTGAGACGAAGTGCAGTAGCAAATGGATTTGGAATGGCTGCACCTGCAAAATCCTACCTAATGTGTTTTATTCAAGCTCAGCTTCCTCCTGGTCGATTATGCATAATGCCAAACATATTGCCTTTGGTGCAGTTTTAACAAAATAATTGTTATGTTTAATTTTAGAAGAAAAAAAGAAAGAAAATACTGAATTTAATTGTTCTTTTAATGCCCTGACCCTCCTTGGAAAGGGTATAAAAGCAGTGGCCTGCCTAGTCTTGAGCCTTAAGTCTTAGGAACAGCCAGAAGAGCCCTGCCGGTAGATCTGAGGATGTGTTCTGGGTTGGGCTGTATAGCAATTCAGCAACATAGCTTAGGGCCAAGCCATGAAGTGCTTTAAACAAGATTAGTACAATCTTTAAATAAATTCAATAAAAAAACTGGTATCCAGTGAAGGGAGGCTTAAACAGGTCTAATGTGCTCTTGTCTTTTTGGAATTAGGAGAGGGGGGCCAAGGATGGATCCTTGGGGGACACCACAAGTTGAGTTTTGTAGAGTTGATTTATTGAAAGATTAAAGTTTGGGTTAAAATGGGTTAACTCTGATGTCATGGTTACTATAATACAAACCTGATTAAGAGTGTAGTCATAATTGAAATGAACCAATGTCTACTGTTTTTTGTCAACTGACTTTCTCCTATTGCTAATTATTGTGATCGCTAAAGGGCTTTATCACTGGAACATAAACGTATATCATCTGGAACACTTGCTGGAATAACTAATTCTGTCCTTCAGATAACAGTCTTGTTGGTTCCTTCCTTCTTGGGCAAAATATACATGTACATCTCAGTGTGCTGCTCTTCATGAATCAGTGAGCAAACCTTTAGCGCTTGTTAGATCACTAATTAAGGTTAAAATCTGTAACCCTCCAACAGCTTCTCCCAAGTTTCTGTCGGTGTAAACTGTTCTGCACGGCAAACCTCACTGTTTCTAGTGGCTGCCTGCGAGGAGTTATTCTTTCCAGTTATAATGCAGTCAGAATGAGGCTTGAGAGCTGTCACATGCTCCCCATTTGTAAGGTAAAGTAACTATACCTTACAATATCCCCATGCAATATGGATGAAATGCATTAAGAATGAGGCAAGGTATATTGTTGGTGAATGGGCTTCAACGCTACCAACATCGCCTGTGGATCTACAGCAAATTAACTTTTGGTGCAGGTGATGCAGCATGAAGTACAGTGATCAAACAAAGAAGGATTTCTCTGTTGTTGGGATTTACATACACTGTGCTGAGCCACTTGTAGAACTGGCTACCTGTAGGGTTTCTCCAACCTATTATTTATTTCTCCATTTCATACCTTAATCAATTTCAACCTGGTGAATTCTGTTTAATTAAATGAAATTTTGCTCACTCCTTTTATATGCAGCAGCCACCTTTTGTAACCCAGAGTTTCCTAATGTTATTTAAAAAATTTTATTAATTTTTTTATTTGATTATAATATTATTTTCCTTCTGCTTTCCGGTTCACAAAATTAAGGTTGTTAGAAGTTATTTGGTTGATTTATGTGTCTGTCAAGTTTATTCTGTTGTCATTGGTCAAATTATGCAGTACTGACTTACTATTGGAGGGAGAAAGCAAGTCCCACCCTTTCTTCACATTCAGTAATGGTACACGCAGTGCACTGATTGGGGTATTTGTTTTCTTGTATAGATGCCGAAGTATTCTAAATACATTGTGTTGTAATTAAGGTCGTCCACTGGTCTATGCTCTTCCTTTTGACTATGACTCAGCACAGCCTTTACCTCCATCAACTTGGACATTGGTTCACTACTCAGGTAACTACTCAAAGCTTACTTATGGGTCTCAGTTGTTACAGGTAGGTTTTCAGGGTTACACTTTCATTATTTGGGAGTTCTTGTTGTTGTCTGACCTGGCAACCTGCCCACTGTTGTGTTTGAGAGTCTGGATATGCTGCCTGAATGAAAAGGTTTTTTCATCTGCCAGTGAAAAACAATCGTAACTACAGTTTCTCTGCTGTTAAGATTGGGGCAACAGATAAGAAGTTTTCTGCTGCCAGCTCCTTTCCTTGACTCAGTCCTGTCTTAATCAGGGATTTTGGTGCAGTTCTCTGACCATCCATCACCTCTGGACACACTGAACTCACATTTTCTTCTTTTGGTATTAGGGTTAGACAGTAATATTGTATCCTGGTGTATTTGAAAATAGAAACGGTGTCTATTGATGTGTTTGTTGATGAAAGATGCTATGAAAATCATAGAAGTTTTTGTAAACAATGAAATTTGTCAAATAAATAACCAGTTAAAAAAGACTAGGTATTTCAACGTTTATAAGGTATATAAATGTAGAAGCGATCATAATCGAATGTTATGTCACAGCTTTTCCTCAGAGGCGACAAGTCTCTGCGCACCCTGAATGACAGGCACACAGAGAGGGCGGGTGAAGGGACGGACAGGGACGGTAAAAACTTTATGGATGTTGTGATGGTCCACTGGCCCACTGTAAAAATATGTTAAAAACTTTAATGGAACATAAATCAGCTAGTGGCAGGAAACTGTATAGCAGCTATTGGTGGCTCCCTCAAAGCCCTACAGTGTGATTTTTAATCAGCTGGTAATACCATATACTGCAGGAACATTTGGGGTTTAATGGTATTAAAAAATTAGATGCCACCCAAACCTATGTCATATTAGTTATTCTTTTTGTGCTGGTTTCTTCCCAGCTTTACTGAAAGTAAAAGCATTGGTTGCTGTTTCCATCTCCTGCTACCCCTTAAATCTACAAGTCGACAGAACAGTAACTGAACTCATGGTCAGCATGTTAACACTCCTTACCTGAGAGAAAATGCAAAACCATTTCACCACAGTTTCTGTCCCCAAGCTGTACATATTGTACCCTCGGCTCAGTCTCAGGGTATGTGAATATTGCAGCTTAAGCACAAGATCTGCAAAAAGTGTTTTTATCAACATTAATGGGTCTGTAGAGAAGGACATACATGCAGAAATATTTTTAAGCATGCACAATAGTTGTCTGACAGGGTGTGGATACCATGCACTGTGCAGAATTTAAAATGTACCTTTTCTGTTGTACATGTTAAAACTACAGATAGAAAAACTGCCCTGAAAACTGTTCTTATTATAGATTGTCAATTCTCAGGTGTAATTGGTTCTTCACTTCTGTTGCTGCACCTGTTTTCTGTTCTCTCAATGCGTATATGCAGTTTTTTAAACAATGGGTCCTTGATCGCAAACAGATTTTGGTTTGTGTGGAATAATCCAAACCTTGACAGGGCTGCCACGCCTAGTCCTAGATACTAAGCTGAACTATGATTTGACAATTGCTGTGCAGGGGAAGAATTTAGCAAATGGTCAATTTTTGGTTTTAATTGTCAGATTTCAGAACGTTCTTCTCTTCTCCCAGTTCTTAAAGCCGTCGTCTTCCTCTGCACCACAAACTACTGAATCTGCTTATGCAGTCGGAGAGCTCCTCCGAGGTCTTCATCTTTCGCCCCACAGAGACCTCAAAGCACGTAACTGAATACCAAATTCTGTGGTCTCATCAACAAAGGAACATTAGAGCGTGTGCTCCCGTTCTACATTTGCATGCAGAAAGGGAGCCTTACCACCTACCTACCACCCCTCTGTCCTAAGAGGCAGGTACTGGATGGCTGTCAGGATGGAGGAAATGTATAAAGTACCCGGGGGATCATCATCGAGGCACAGACACAGCAGTAGCATCCCAGCAAGCATTTGGTGGACAGAGATGTGTGTTGTATTTTAACTCATTTCACAGTAGGATAGCAATACATGTTTAAAATGCATTGAAAACTAGTTTTTGCACATGCATCAGTTGGAAACCTGCCTCCTTTAGGCATCTTTCTACCTAAATCCCTGTGAAACCCATTAGATAGAGTTGCTGATATTCCCACTGGGCCCTGACCAAGGCAGTGTGCTCATCCATCAGGTTTGCCAGTATTATCACATCCTCAGTAATGATAGATGACAAAGTTAGATCTGCTCTCTATCTAGTGGAATAGTTGGAAATCATACAGGAGCTGCTGCAGCTGCTGAGCATCAACTTGGTTATCCATTTGAAAAGATGCCTCCAATCAATTACTTTCCTCCAAAAGATATCTCGGAGGTATTGGAGAGTGTGTGTGTGTGTGTGTGTGTGTGTGTGTGTGTGTGTGCGCGCGTGTGTGCGCGTGTGTGTGCGCGCGCGCGCGCACTATGCTAAACTGCCTGGCAGCCACGGTGTTGGTAAATGATGCAACACCCTGAAACAAAGGCCTTCATCATAACAAAAGGTGTGTGTTTGTGTGTGTGTGTGTGTGTGTGTGTGTGTGTACATTGCCATAAACCCATAGATATTACAGTGTGCTGACAACATCACATTGATAAAAGAGAGCCTCGCAGCAGAGACCAAGCCCTTATTGTGCCAACTGTGGTCACAAAAAGCCAACCATAATACATCAGCGTTGCCGTACGCCACAGGATTTACTTTCTAAACTCTATTTCCTTTTAGAAAAGATCACTTCCCTTCAGCAGGGCCCGAAAGCATTGTTTTAATGCATCTGCTCTGTTTTAAATAGCTGTTTTTACTCACTTGTGTCAAGTGTCTGTTGCCATGCTTTCAGTGTCTGCGGATTCTCAGTGATGTTCACAGTTTGTTTTTTTTCTTATGTCTTTCAGAATAAAGTTATGAGCATTGACGCAGTAAAGGTGAAACTGCAGGTAAGAAAAAAAAAAAGAGCTCTATGTATGTGTGTGTGTGTGTGTGTGTGTGTGTATAGATATGTGTTTTTTTTTTTTTAATAACAAATCACCAGCAACTGTTTCCCATGGTGTAACTACCTCCCATACATCTTCATTACTTGCTGTGGGAGGGCCAAGGAGCCCAAACGATGACTTAATGAGTCCTTGGTTAATCTCTATCAGTCAATTAGCCTGCTGCTCTGCCTGACTGAAGACACTAGAGGGAATAGCTGACTTTCCGTCAGATTATCAAGCCTGGAAGTTATCAATGAGAGACACAGACCGGCAGAGATGCCGATGAATCCTCGTCGTTCAAAAATAGCATTAGATACCGTCTGATGAGTTTTCCACCTCAATTACGCAACGCTTACGTTCTCTCTCTCTCTCCCTTCATCTTCCTCCTTTTTTAATGGATCTGTGTTCATCCATCAGTCTGTCCATCAAATGTGATATTTCAGGTGATATCTCAGGAACAAGTTTAATGAAACATACAGGCATTTAGATACTTTTTGACTTATTAAAAAATGTGACATGGAAAGAAATAAATGGGGCATTTGATAGTTTGATAGGTCATGATTTTGTTTAAGGCTTCAGACGCTCTCTGCTCCTGTTTTGACAAACCTTTGCTCTCTGCTCATACATATGCAAATTGTCCGGACGTGGGCGCTGTAACTGAAGAGTAATTACGTCCGTTACTGGGCAGGTAGAATACAGTGGAGCCTTTTCAGCTGCCTGATGCTTCTGGAAACTGATGGAGCAGTGAGACTGAATAGAAACATTAAAGCTGCCAGTCATGAGACCAACGCAATGAGCTGAAAGTCACTAAAATGTCAGCAGCTTAAAGAAATGCTGAAATTGCATGCTGTGGATTAATTTGTGTCACTATGTTGAAGACATATGGATGCACGCACTGCAGCTAGAAAATGTGATATAGAAAGATGAAACCTCTTAAGTGCTTGCTGGTTTTAATTAAAATCTGAAGAGATGATGTATCTTGCTGCTTATTGGGTGCGTCTTTCATGGGAGGCAACTTATTAAATGTCTTTTTTTTTTTTACACAATAACACAAATGCACAGACACACAAGCACACGCTCCCTGCCACGCTCTCAGTTCCAGCATTATTACTATCAGCATCAGCAGTGCAAATCATAACATACATTATCTCAAGGCGCCTCACAGAGTCAGGTCACCTTACAATATTATAAAGAGAAACCCAATAGTTCCCACAATGAGAAAGCACCTGGTGACAGTGAAGAGGAAAAACTTGCTCTTAACAGGAACTGGATTCAGGGGGTGGGCGACCATCCGCCTTGGCTGGTTGTGTTGAAAGGAGAGAAATGGGGGAGAGAGGAGAAAGAGTGACTGAAAAGTTACGCCAGCGTGAAACAGCAATTGGAATAACATGGTAACACAGTCACTATTGTCAGTGTCATTGTGTTTGTAATGACTCCACCACTGTAATATCCTGCAATACAAAGCACGGTCTGGTGCAGGTATAATTAACTCCAGTTTACCAGCAAAATGCGGCTCATCAGTGGCTTTATGTTTCTTTTGTTCTATGAGTCCATTCAGCCTTTCTGTTATCGCGTGACATATACTCAGTTTTACAATGACAACAGTGGCAGATTTATCACCACATAGTCTAAATATTTTATAAATGAGTCCTGATTTCACATAGAAATAATTTTCAAAAAAAAAAGCAGGATTTGACCGATTTTATCAGCCACAACCAGGTAATTAGCTCATTAAGCTAATGGGGTTCTAGAGTTGGTTTTAAATGCCATCTCTGGCTGACATTTTAATAGTTTCAGTGAAAACATGAACGATGTAAAAGGCTGCATGATATCGTGCAAAAAGAGAAGGTTATGTCCGAGGCAAAAACGCAGCATCCTCACCGGTTGATGATCCATAAAAAAAAGAAAATGGAAATAAATAGCATTATTCTTGTGCAGCAGTGTAAAGCTGGGCAGTCGTAGCATTGCACTGTATGTATGATAAGTAAAAATGAAAGATCATGCTGTCGTTTCATTCTAACACAACCCCATTTGGCTGGGTAGCATACAATTTAGTTCTTATTTTCAAAAAGTACAGTGCATTCAGAATGTATTCAGTTGTCACATTCTGTTATGTTGGAGCCGTTTGCTGAAATCATTTTAAATTCATTTTTTCCGTCACTCAGTGCCCCAAAATGACAAAATGAAAACAGAGCTTTAGAAAGGAGCCGCCTGCAGAGCTCAGAGACAGAGATTGTGCTCGAGGCACAGATCAGAGTCTTCTTGGTTATGACGCGACAAGCTTTGCACAACCTGGATCTGGAGATTTCCTGCCATTTTTCTCTGCAGATCCTCTTGAGCTCTTGTCAGGACCACAGTGGCCTCCATAATTCATAAATGGAAGAAGTTTGTAACAAGCTGAGCACTAAGACTTGAGGCTGATATGCTGACCCTGTAGGTAACAAGAGGTCGCCACTGTAGCTAGCTTAGCGGACATGCTAATGATTGCACCTTACACTACAGCTAATAAACACTGTGTTAAATCCACACACGGGTGCTTTTTATTTTTCTTGTTTTGAAAGACAACGCCCGAGTCGCTCTCCCATGCACACGCCTTCGTGTGGCACGTGTAGAAATGACGTGCTCCTGTTCTTCCTTTTCAGATTTGGGACACTGCTGGTCAGGAGCGTTTCCGGAGCGTCACACATGCTTACTACCGCGACGCTCACGGTAGGTATTCCTCTGTGTTTGTTAGTGCGAGTCTGTTTGATTGTGTACGACAATGTTCCCACTACTTTTTATTTTCTCCCGACAAACTGTTGTGACTGACGTTTGGTTGCCTTTGTTTTCTGCCAATGGATGATGACAGGATGATATTGGCGGTGTCCCTGTTGCTCTCTCTTTCCTGTTGGGACGGCAAAAAGCACTCAGGTTGCAGCTGATTTCATAGACTGGTGTGTGTGTGTGTGTGTGTGTGTGTGTGTGTGTGTGTGTGTGTGTGCAGGAATTTGCCGGAGGCTCTATGATGTGCAGGTTCCCTTAAGCGTGCGGCTAACCACTGGGTGGGAAAATGAGCCTACCTCTTTCACAGTGGGGGGGCGGGACAGCTGCTATTCCCATGTGTCTTGGTGTGTGCGTGTGTGTGTGTGTATACGTGTACGTGTGTGTGTGTGTGTGTGTGTGTGTGTGTGTGTGTGTGTGTGTGTATGTGTGTGTGTAGCAGTTTTATCTCCAACGACCCCACAGAGTACAGATAACAGTGTGCCTCGGGCCAACCTGAATAAGCAGGTGCTGGGGAACACACGCACATGCACACGCACACACACACACACACACACACACACACACACACACACTGCTGTACAGGCATTATCTTGATCACAAATTCGTTCCACAGCACAGAAAACAGCATTAGTGGCTCTTGTGAATGTTTATGTGTTTCTGTTGTATCTTTATCTTTATCTTTAGTGTGTTCTCAACAGGTGAGACATGAATGGGATTGTGTGTTCTTGAATCACATGTGTGCTTTTATTTATATTTTTTAATCAGTAAATGTGAATTTGTGTGTGTGTGTGTGTGTGTGTGTGTGTGTGTGTGTATGTGTGTGTGGGGTTGGCCGGTTGCCCGGTGTTATTCTGATCTTCCAGTGCAACAGTTAACCCTTGCTGATCTTTAACAAGGCGCCCGGGGAGCCTCGAAGCATCTCCTCTGAGTTGTCCATCTGTAGACTGACTTTTAAATAAAGCTCATTCAGCCTGACAGGCGGGACCAGGGGAGAGGATGCAGCGTGAACGCAGCTGTCACGAAAGCTGTTGATTTCCCCGCGAACTAATGGAGAGTTTTTTCGTGACTCAGGCTTTGAAATGTAAAGATTGGATAGTTAAAGGCCTCTGCCTCGTCTCTGAGCACTGACAGGTAGAAGTGAGCGAATCCAAAGTCTGAAGAAACACTGACCAATTATAGTGCCTTGACTTTGGATCTGTATCATCTCAATGCTTGGATGGAAGGATAAAGCCCGTAGGTTTTTCACGAAGTATTCATAAATCCATATCAGACTGGTGTGTTCTGTAAGTTGTGTCCAATTACATTGAACCTGAGCCTGTTATGTACACTTAGATTTTGCTTGCCAGGTGAAACATTAGCCAGGCACATCTAACAGTCACATTACAATTACCAGAGCCATTCTCTTTTAAACGTCCATCTTGGTTTGACGTTGACTCAGCGTACTTCGCTAGTTTTCGTGCAGTGAGCCACGTATGTAATCGTTCACCTGCCAAACGTTCAAGTAAAGCTTCTTGAATGCTAAACTCAAAGCAGTCTTTACTGTCTGAGCGTGAACACATCATCATCTGAGAACCACGAATCTAATCTGTCAATCGGACGTTGAGAAATTTCACTGGATAAATCGAAAACTATGACGTGGCGCTAAAATAAACAAGCTCATTACTTGTTTAGAAAGAGTAAAGCTTCTCTCAAAGTGTGACTTTACCCCCCGGACAGCTATAGATGTTTGTGTTATTCAGCTTTGGCCCTGATCTCGACTGTCATTAAACCCTTAATGAGAGAGCAAGAGGATCCAGACAATCGGTGCAAATGAGCCGCTGGTTGCAGTGAGCTCAGTGCAATCTGCCACGTCCATCTGGTGTAGAGGTCGCCACAAACGTCCAGCTGTGTCCAGATACCAGCTGCAGACTTTCTCTCTCTCTCTCTCTCTCTCTCTCTCTCTCTCTCTCTCTCTCTCTCAGGGGAGCTGACAGTTTGTCATTTCCACAGCATGGCATGAAACCACAGGGTGTTAAAAGAAAGAAAAGAAAAGAAGGAAAGGCTGACTCAAGTAGCAAGAGGAAGGTAGGCAGGAACAGGAGAGATACAGGAGCGAAATAATAGGCGATATTTAGGGCGATAAAAAGTGGGAGAAGGTAAATGATTAAGTAAGATGAATTAATTTATCAAATCAAAAAATCAAAACAAAAGATCCAGAAGAACAGAGCAGTCAAATAAACTGGCCTTCACCACTCTCCAAGCTGGAACCGCTGTGGAGACAAAAGGCAACTGGAAAAAAATATAAATCCACTAATGTAATGGAGACTGAGTGGAGAGAGAATAAAAGAGTAGAGCAAAATCATTGTGGAGCTTTCAATAGAAGCCAGTCCTGTAATGAAGAGGCATTATGGCTCAATAGAAGCGGCAGGCGGCTCACTAAAACGAGCGCAGAGGAATTAACGAGGAATAGAGGAGAGCTTGTCGAGAGAGCTCAGGTAATGGAAGACGGTGAGTGGTTTCACTCCCTTCACGTTACTTACTAATAACATGCAGGAGCGAAGTTATGAAAATTAAGGAATCACCATCACCGCCGTCAACCCTCCATTGTCCTTTCCCACAACCTCATCACACAGATAAGAGCCGACACGATGAATTTAAAGAAAACAGAGTGACAGAGTGAATAGATTTCACAGAACAGGTAATGGCTGCATTTACAGATGACGGCTCCCAAAATGGCGCCGTATGATTGAAAGGGTTGTTTGGACTGTGTTGATCACAATGAGGAGCTTTGGCTGCTTCGTTCCCCTGCACCTTGTCTTTGTTATCCACAGGTTGTCGAGGGCGTCGCGGCCACGTAGCAGCTCACCCGCGTCACGGCAGTGATACATACAGTGGTCGTCGCCACTGTTTAAACCATCATCTGTTGTCGTCAATGCAAAACAAAACAACAAAAACAAAAACAGCGCCCTCTTCTTGTTTTTTGTTATAAAGTAATTAAACTGATTATCTCCAGGTCACAGGGAGCCGTCAGTATTTCTTGTGGTGGTCTTCTTCAAGATAAACAAATTTGTGTAAAAGGGAATTCTGAAATGATTTACTGAATGAGTAAATCATCTCGTTAATATTTCAGTCTCAGTTAATTGGTCTATTTCAGAGGTTTTTGAAACTGCTGATGGGGAGGCGGGCGGAGGGTGTGGGGGGGGGCATAAAGCAAAGAGACTGGGAGGTCAAAAGGACAGTTCTCTAAAAGAATAACTAAGTTTTTTAGTTGTTGTAGGTTTATGTAGTTGGGCCCATCAACAGTCTGAGCTGCAGCAGAGGAAATGGAGGAAACTGAAGTAGTTTCTTACAAATGAAAAGTTGAATTCATAGAAAACGAAACACACCTTTTCCTCGTTTCACACTGACCAGGAGTTTTACAGGAGCGGCTGAAGTAGTACAGTGTTATAATAAGTTATACAATGTCTGACGTTACTGAGCTGCTGAACTTTTAGCGTTTACTGTTATCCTGTCATTGTCATAGTGGCCACGTAACACAATATTGCTTTAGCCATTGCTTCAATTTGCATCAAAAATCCCACTCCTTGTCAAAATCACTACTGAGTCAGTGGCTAAAAAAAAAAAGCCACAACAGAAAGGAAGCAGGAACACAGACGTAGTGACAGATGACAACTGCAGGACGAACAGAGGCTACATCTATTTCTTATTAAATCACTTTCATTACCTCATTATGTCATTGCTCTGCTCTGCCTCATTCCATCCCGCCTGCATCATCTTTTATTCCCTCTATTCCATCTTCTTGGGTCACTTCTTTCATCACTAACGAGCAACTGTGGGCCTCAATCAGCAGCAGCATGTGGGGGTGAAACGTATCCCGACTAAGACGGGAGGGCGGCAGAGGGAGCGATGATCAAGAGTTGAGCAGAGGAGGTGTGGATAAGGAAAGGAAAAATGGACTGAAGAGGACGGAGGAAAGAAAAAAAAGAAAGGGAAGGAGGGAGGGAGATGGATGAAGAAGAGGGACTAGAAAACAAAACGTTGAGGATATTGCTCCACTATAGAGAAAGCAATGAGCTGTGTGATCCATCCAGCAAGCTTTCTCTGCCCCTCATGCTTACACACACACACACACACACACACACACACACACACACACAAACACACTTACTAGCTTCTTGCATATTGAAACGGATGTGCAAGGTCACAGTCAAAGGCATTTTAGAAGCTTTATTCTTGGGCATGTGTGTGAAGTGAGTTGAGAGCAGTGGTTGAACCCCGAGAGCCTTCTAGGCCTTCAGAGGAGGCCAAATATATCTGCATTTGAATATTGTAATTAATAATTATTCTCCGGTAATTCTAATTTTGTAATTATTTTCCTCTAATTTTAGCCTCGTTTTCCATCAAGTTTACTTCAGAAATTAAAGGGTTACTGTCTGAAAACCATGAAATAGTGTTATCCAACCAGAGTTTTCTTTTTCTTTTTGTTGTTGCCTCGCCAGAGAAAAGGTTAGCTGGCTCACTCATTGATTAGGACTTTGTAACTGCCACACAAGGCCTGATGCCCCCATAGCAGCTTGTGTTAGTTTGATTTATAGTAGGTGGGACCAAAAATCGTTCCCCCTAGCCCTTCATGAAGGCTCAAGGCCAGCACTATCTCGCAGGGTTTACCTTTTGCTGTCCAGGGGTTTAAGCTAGCAGATTAGTGATTTCAGTCAGTCAGTCAGGAAGCACTTGGAGCTGGTGCTCCTGTGAGTGTCGAAGCGTCTGTATGAGACGCTTCACTCAGTGATTGTTTGTTTTTAAACCTTATTTTGGGGCTGAGCGCAGCACAGTCTGGATGTGGTTGGTTGAAGGCCTGGCTCTAATATTCATGGTTTGCAGAAGAGATGCATATATTCGCTTGTGTCATTATTTACTAAAAGTCCCACATGTTTGTGAGTGTGTATGTGTGACTCCTAACACACAGGTGTGCATGCATGTGTATGTATGTCTTTGTGTTAGCATCCTGCAACTGGGACGTTCTGCACCAGAGAGCAATGCTGTTACGCACGGCCGTTCACACCTTTTTTAAGTCACCTAAAAACAACCATATGATTATAACTACATATGATTACATATTGTGATTGGCCAGTCCCAGCACATGCATGCAGTACGCTCTGCGCACCCTGAATGACAGACAATGTCGGTAAAAACTATAGATTTTTTTCGTGGCTCGCCCATACAACAGGATTTCTCCAGATGTCCCACTACGACAGATGTGTCCACTGTCAATGTGTTTGAGAGAGAGAGGAAGGGAAGGAGAGCGAGAGGGAGAGGAAGGGCTGTGCACAGGTCTACAATGAAGATTTTATCCATTTAAAATAGAAACAAAATAGAAGATCAATATGAGCTGTCAATGTTGTGGTGGGCCGCCATTAATCAATCAGTGTGCGGCAAACACTGACACATGTGTTACCTGTTCATTCCTCTTTAGTACTTATCTGAAAGACCGTCTTCAAATATTAATGGATTCAGCCGTCAAAAGACCCGAGGAATTTAGTAATCGCATGTCGTGGTGATTGATACCCCCCTTTCTAAATGGATGCCGTAGGAGGGAGCCCCCTGGGTTGTGCTTAGCTAGGAGAAGAGGCAGAAATGACAACTGCTGCTGGGACTGTCAGAGGAATAATGAAGGTGATGGAAGCAGGGCTCGCTGGTAGCAATTTCACATACTCTCTCTCCTACGTTCGTAGAGTAACATCATTGGCAGGTTGCAGCAACTTGCCTGAAGGGATAAAGTGAAGCTCATCACTCAGATAATACACACACACACACACACGAACACACACACACACACATAGTATTTTCATTAGCAGGTGTCCTCAATGTGGAGTAATCATCAGCGCGCTTTCTATTTTCAAGGCAGTAACAGACCAGAAGAGCGACTGTTGGCAGTTGGTTACAAGCTGATGGAAATATTCTGGCAGTGTTGTTAGTGTGCATGTAAATCAGTTCAGTCTGTAACTTTTGAAACCACATTTTAAATTTGATGTCTTTCATAACTCTAAAATTTTCATTTATAATCAGTGGCAGAACAAACTTTTAGATGCTTTACTTCAGGTGTTTTACTTATGCATTAAAATCTTAGCAGCATTTTAATGTTGAATGTTGGGTGATATGACATTGCATTGTCTTGTATCAGCATTTGTTCTGTATATAAAATGTTAATCTGCAGAACATATACTGTAGTGACTGTGGCTGTCTAAAGAGTAAAAAGCAGTTTACCCCTTTGATATGACAGAAGTGGCCAATAACTTATAACACAGCCAAACTTTTTGACTTCATTGTTTTGATGTCACATCTTTTTAAAGGTTTTTGGGTCGTCCCGGTCCTCAACTGGTTAGGAACCTCTCCCTATCTGAGTTTCTGTATTTCTATGCTGTCACTCAATCAAATAAAGGCCAAAAGTACCATAAAACAAAACCTCTAATGCTATAGATGTGAGGTTGTTTTTGCCTGTTGCAATAATTATACATTGTTTTATGTATTACACATTTCCATTACTCCTGCAACCACTGGTTAATGCTGTGTGCTGTAGTTCTGATCATTACAGGTCGAAACCTTTTTATCCAAGTGATGGATTTTGCAGGCTTATGTTTATTTGTATTTGTATGCATATGTCAATGTGCATTGCTTGTTTATGTGGCTTATTTTCAAGGGAAGGAGAGCAGCCAAGGTCAGTCAGTGATTATTGACGCAGATTATCATCTTAGAGATGATGGATGGCTGCGCTCTTTATGGATCACTTCACTCCATCAAACTCCCTCTCTTCCTGCTCAGGCTTTCCCTGCAGGAGGTTTGATAGTCAAGGTGGCCCACGGAGTCAAATATTTAATATTGTATCTATTGCTGTGCTAGCGGTTAGCAGTATTTAAAACCTAATTAATTTCTTTTTCATTGAAAAAGAAATTAAATAATCTTTAATAAAGGTCCTGAAGTCCTGAAGTGACCCAGATGAGCAAGACAAAAAGTAATCGTATGAGCATTTTCTGACCCACACCTAGACGTGGCGAGGTTAGAGAAAATTACATTTTTATATTTAAACCTCCAATAATGGATTTTTTCTGGCCACTCCGGGGTGGCAGCTGAAAACAACATCATCACCTTTTAAGTTTATATGGCAAACTCTTCAGCGAACAATTGTTAATTTACACATCCAGCACTTACAGAGCGACATAATCCTGCATTAGGAGGCGTGTGTCGGTGCCACCTGTCGAATCTTAAGTCAAATATTCTCTCTCATTGTAACTCTGCTTTTGGTTTCCACTGCTTTTTTTTCTTCTCCCCGCTGGAAACAGCCGCCTGCTGAGGCTGTTAGAGCAGGGAAAGTGAACCAATCATGACAGTTCAGTGAGCCAAAGCAAATTTTAGAGGCAGTGAGATTGCATACATACATATCTAATCATTATTTTTTACTTATTATTTTCTACCCAGCGTGACAGCTTAATCACCCTGCTGTTGTTAAGACGGACAGCCATAATAATAAAAAGCAACAGGAATGCACTTTATAGTCCGTCAGCACTTTCTTCCTGTAAACCGACCTGCCTTCTTATTATGGTCTGTTTTCTACTCTCACGGTTTCTCTGTGAGAGTTTTGGTCTTTCCTTCAGTGTGTCTGTTTATTTATCTTAGCGTACGTCTGTCTTTTAATTTACTCGTCTCACCTTTTTATCTCTGCCTGTCTGTGTCTCGTGTCTTCCAAAAAATCTCCACTCTTCACCCAGACTTCCTGCATCTTTCAAAGTTGTTGTTTCTGTCTCAGGTTCACTGTTTTGCAGCGACAGTGAAACCTGCCTGTGATAAAAACTCTCCACTGCTGTGAGAAAATTCTCCAGCTTCATCTGTCTTGTGCTCTAGGCAAGATGTAATTGGATTAAGGGAGGGTGAAGGAAAGCAACTCCTTGCGGTCGACTCTGGTCTTCTGATAAACACCGGAGCCACTTGAGAAGGAAATTAACTGGTGGAGCAGGTTGCTTCTCTCTTTCTTTTGTCTCTCTTTCTTTCCACCCTCCTTCTTCTTCTTCTTCTCTCCCCCTCTCTCTGTGTTTTCTCAGTCTGACAGAGGCAGACCACGCTCACGGTGATTACAACTCATTAAACACCCTTCATGGACTTGTCTGGCTGGAATAAACAAACAGAGGACTTAATCTAGAATAGATTGGTGAAAATGCAGCCATGGCCGAGGGGGGTGGAGGGGTCGGCGCGTGGAGAAGGGGAAAAGAAGCGGTGGAGGAATGAGAATGGAGTGAGATGTACGCAGAGGAAAGATGGCTGGAGGGATCAGATGCAGTAGTGGGAGGAGAGGTGCTGTGGAGGTAATTAGCGTAGGATAATTCTTCCAAGTGAAGGTTGATCCAGCTGAGAAAATGAGCTACAATTGCCCCTGTAGGTGTAATGAGTTTTATAATACACACCCTCCGGTTCGCAACTACCTGAGTTGGTGTTCTCCTGTTTGTCAGCACTGTGCAGTTGGGGGGTTGTGAGGTGTGAAGCTAATGCTGCGCTGAATGGGAGAGTTTAACAGTTTCTCTTCATGCATTTCTCCTGTGTAAGATCCCAAAGCTCCTGTTGAAGCTCAAACAGAGGAACTTAGATATATAACAAATCTCTACAGTGTATTAAGAGAGGATAGTCCCTGTGCTACTGTACGGCTTTTTTGTTTTTATGGTGGACAAACATGGCTGCATGATGCAAAGTTCTTCGTAGATGGTTTTGTTGTGACAGGAAATAATTAGATCATTGCATACTTCCACATGGCTGCACAACACGATACACCACAGCACACCTACATCTAATACACACAGTCATCCCGTGATAATCTTAGCATTTCTTTCCTGTCGATTATTACAGCAGTCTCCCAGAAATGTGCTCATATACAATACTCTGCAGAAGGTTTGTAGGCACTAAAACTAAAGGGAGGATGCTTTTCAAAAAATAATGCCATGTATAGTTTTTATTTATCAATCGAATGCACCAGTTCTCTGTATTCTTCACACAGTTTTTGGAGGCACTTGGCAGGAAGGTTGTTCTTCCTCTGTGGATTCAGGCTGCCTCAGTGTCCTCTGTGTGTGTGTGTGTGTGTGTGTGTGTGTGTGTGTGTGTGTCTGACTCCATGATGTTGAGATCAGGGCTCTGTTGGGGTCAGACCATCTGTTGCTGGACTCCTTGTTCTCCGTGTCACTGAAGATAGTTCAGTGTGACTCAGGTTGTGATGTTCTGAATGAATGATGGTACTGTGTGATGGAGAAGAATCTAAACATTTAAAGTCCCTGCATTATGTTCAGTGGCAAAATATTTTATAGAAAATTTGAAAAAAATCAGCAGCTCATTCCCACTTAATATTCTACAGTTGGTCTTCTGTTTCTTTAATGACACTAATGAGAACATTTAACACTGAATACATCATGCGTTTGCTTTTTTCCTCTCTCTCCGCAGCTCTTCTCCTCCTCTATGATGTCACTAACAAAGCATCCTTCGACAACATCCGGGTAAGAACAGTTGCACTCGTCTGTCACGTTCTCCCTCTTCCTTCACTCCGTCAGTGTCCATTGTTTTTTGTCACGCCGCTCCGGGGGACACATATTTCACATTTAGCTTGGATCCCCCAACAGGAGCTGGAGGACGTCGCTGCCACTGTGAACCAGCCCCAGACGGTTATTTTTTGTCTATTAAAATGATTTGGAAAGATGAAACTGAAAAGCATGGGTGCAGATAAGAACTCACCCTTTCCCCCAAATGGATCCATCTCTTTGTAGTTAGCGCCCGTCTGTCCCCTGAACTCGGCTCCCACTGTGATTCTCCTTCCCCGTTAGGTGCCACTCCCCCTCGTCTCTTTGTAGGTGCATTACCCTCCTTTGATTAACGCAGAGCGAAGTTAAGAGCAGAACGTGGCCATTATAAAAGTGTGTGTCTTGTACATCAAGGAGAGAAATGGCTCCATGGCCATCTGGCTGGACTAATGCATTTACATCTGGAGTCTGTGTGTGTGTGTGTGTGTGTGTGTGTGTGTGTGTGTGTGTGTGTGTGTGTGTGTGCAGGGTGCAAGTATGACCTGAATGTGTGTGCGTGCTCATGCAGGTGTGTGTGTGTATGTGTATGTGTGTGTAGGTGCCCAAATGGCTCATTAACAGAGGATAGAGAGCAGTCTCTGGAGAGAGACAGACTCAGAGCTTAGCTTCCCTCCAAACAGCTGGTTAACATCATTATGTTTTTTAATAGTTTCTATTAAATCACTCTATCTGGTATCTGAAGCCTCGGATGTGATGGGGATGGGAAACAGAGGCCGGACAGGGGAGAAGGAAAGATGATGTAAAGGAGCAAATTGATAGTCAGTAAAGTTCACGTCAGTTTCTAGCTACCTTTAACCTAATGAAACACAGAAGTTATTCTTTGGACAGAATCTCTTTCTGGTCCAGCAGACAACATTGATGTGTGTACAAATTTGTTAGCAAGTGTTTGGACAGCTTTTAGCTTTTTAGCCTCCCACCATAGGAACTAGTGAGTGGGTGGTTAGTGGTGGTCAGTGTTATAAGTTTCTTTTTTCCTGCTGGAGTGATTTGAGAACAGGTCACGGGTCTCACTTCGAGTGTCAGGGGTGGGGTGGGGGGGTGGGGGCTCTCCAATCACACTGCCAGATATTCTCGGAGCAATCAAAGAACGCTCAAAGAACCGGAAGAGAGTAGATGATTTCAGAAATCAGAAAGCTTTTGTTAAAATAGAAACTGGGGGCTGTGCTGCGAGAGGCGGCGTGCACAGAGATTTCACATGTAATTGCATGTTTTTTTGTTTTTTTTTTGTCATTCACTACGAAGCAGCAGCTCTGTGTCTGTGTAATGTTTGAATTATCACTTCATTCAAGTGTTGAATGCATGAGGGTGTTAGTCAGTGTGCACTTAAACACACGACACTCGACAGCATTAGCACAAGGAAAGCTCTAATGCTCCAGAGCAGATGTGAACACAGTAGGAGGCTAGTGGACTGTGTGTGTGTGTGTGTGTGTGTGTGTGTGTGTGTGTGTGTGTGTGGTGAATATACTGCATGTGGTCCCTGTGGAGAAGTGAGACAGCACACACACACACACACACACACAGAAAGTCAATGTCCTGCTAGTTAATATTCATCTAATTACAACAATTTAAGTGCAGATTGTGCAGGCCTAACACACACACACACACACACACACACACACACACACACACACACACACACCGGAGAAGCTTCTTTCTGAGGTGCAGTTTTCTTGGCTCTCACCTGTTTGATGTGTTCTCGTCACACACTGAGCTGTAGTGGCAGGTGAAGCAGTGACACTGACAATCCAGCAGCGCATTGAAATTGCGGTGTCGGGATTCACCGCGTGTCGTGCTGTCGTCCACCCACCTGCTCCAAGCAGGTCAACAGCACCTGTGTTTGTCATTTTTGTGGCTTCGGTGTGTGCTCCAAGTAGACCTTGTTGTTGTACTTGTGTTATACTTGGTAAATATATTTATTGAGGTACATGTTTTAAATATAATAATATATTTTAAACCAAGGTCTGAATCTAAATTTACAATTACTGCCTCCACCGACCAGTCGAGTTGGTCAAGAGTGAACAGATGTGGCACAATGTCTTTTTCTGACCACGTACACAAGACACCGGAACTAGAAGCCTTTATAAAACATCGTGTTGCTTAAATATCTTGTTTGTTGTCCCTTGTCACTGTTAAACGTTATAAAGAAGGAAGGAGAATTTACATTTATTTACATATTTTTTCTCTTTCTGTTGTCAGACAACTGAACAAGTCTGAAGTGTTTATTTAATCCTACAAAATAAAAGCTGTTAATCAGTCATTTCCAACCTGCGGGGATAAAATCATTAAATGTAATTTGAGTCCAGGTTAATGACGATGGCTTTGCTGTGTATTTATTTTAAAATAAGTGATCTCAAAGAAAGTTAGTTAGTACAGTTTCAACTTCTAACTTTCTGCTCTCATCATCCTGCTGTTCATGCCCCCACCGCCCCCCCCCCCCCCCCCACCCCCCTCCCCCCCCCCCCCTCCCCCCCCCCCCCCCGCCCTCCCCCCCCCCCCCCCCCCCCCCCCCCCCCCCACGCCCCCCCCCCCCCCCTCGGTCTTCAATTGCTTCCATGTACCAATTCCTTGTTCAATTTGCAGCACTGCTAACGGCGAGGACACGTTTTGTTTTAAGTTGGAGAAAATAAGAGAAAATAGAATTTACCAATTTTCCAAATGTATTGAAAAGGAACTGAAACGTCACATTGCCATAAGTATTCAGACCCTTTCCTCAGCACTTAGTCGAAGCACCTTTGGCAGCGATTACAGCCTTAAGTCTTCTTGGGATTGACACACCGGGATTTTGGGGATTTTCTTCCATTCTTCTTTGCACACCCTCTCAAGCTCTGTCAGGTTGGACGGGGACTGTCAGTGGGACAGACATTTATTTACAGGCCTCTCTCCCAAAATGTGTGATTGAGTCAAAGTCAGGGCTGTGGCCGGGCCACTCGAGCGCATTTCACAGAATTGTCCCTAAGCGTGACGCTGCTACCACCGTGCTTCAACGTCGGGACGGTACTGGGCCAATTCAGGCCAAACAGTTCAATACTGGTTTAATCAGACCAGAGAGTCTTGTTTCTCATAGTCTGAGATTCCTTTAGGTGTTTTTTTTTGTTTTCTTTGCAAACTCCAAGTGGCTTTCATGTGTCTGTCACTGATGAGAGGCTTTTCGTGTGGCCACTCTGCCATAAAGCCCAGATCGATGGAGTGCTTCTCCCCAGTCGCTCAGTTTGGCTCCGGCGGCCAGCTCCAGGAAGAGTCCTGGTTGGTCCAAACTTCTTCCATTTAATAATTATGGAGGCCGTTGTGTTCTTGCCAGCCTGTCTCTGAGCTCTGCAGCCAGTTCCTTGGTGGGAGGCACCTGAGATAAATCTCCAGTGTCAAAGCAAAGTGTCCGAATACTTTTGGATATTGTCTTGTTTTTTTTTTTTTGCTTTAATAGATTTGAAAAAAAAGAGAAAATGCAGTAAAAGGCTGCAACATCTAAATACTCTCTGAACATGTGAATACTGTTTCTATAGAGCACTGCAAACACATCAAGGCTGCTCCGCTTTCACATGCATTGTAACCCACATAAATACACCATATAAGCATTGATACTATAATTTTGCCCAGGTTCCTCATTGGTCAAGGATGTGTCGACAACAAATTTGTACTTCACTGGTTGCCATGCCAACCTGTTGACGATTATTAGTTTTTACCACCAATGCAGCAATCCATCTTCACCATCACTGTCAGCACTGTGTGTCAGGAGCAGATTGGACCTTGAATGTCTCTCACAGTCGCACCTAGCACATCGTGTGCACATTCTGTGCAGGGACACTTCGAGACACACACACACACACACACACACACACACACACACACACACACACACACACACACATCCTGATGTGTCCAGTGAATCCGTAATGATAACGCTTCGTATGACAGCGCTGTCGACAGCTGATGTGACCTTGGGAGCCAAATTACAGTCATTTATACAGAATGATAATAGCTCCTTATACACAGTGTCTTCCTCATTTCCTTCAATAAAAACTCGTTGACGTTGGTGGCTGTCTTTTCCCCCTCGGAGAGCTGGCCGTGAGCGAACACCGGTTGCAGGAGGTAGATGCCAGGTCGCTCATTTTCTTGTGCTTCAGAATAATTACCTGTCTTCTGTGGAGATTGGCTGCTGCAGGCAAATCTCTTGCGTTTGCCGTCTTCAGATCTTGTGAAGGACTGTGCTGTTACTGTTGTTCGCCTCTTTTAGGGCACGATGTGGAGCCTTTAAACCAAAACAAACTGCAGCCAAAAAGTAGACTACAGTGACACACCGCTTCGTCACAGTATTACCGTATATCACACAGTAGATGTGCAAGGGAAAAAAGAACGGAGCGACCGAACTGGACAGACTTGGTGTCGTTTGGAAGGCGTCGTTAAGAAATTCGTTCCTTCAAAATTTTGTGCCCCTAGATGCTTTCAACATGGAGCGGTGACACACACACACACACTGCTCTCCAGTTGTAATAGTAGGATTACTGCGCGCATGAAGATTTTTCATTAGTCTGATGCCTTTAAACCATTGAATCTTTTACAACCTCATGTCAGGGCTTTATAGCAGCTACTGGCACCGTGCACCCTGTTGTTGGCTAAAGACACTGCTCAGTTGCAGATTTCCACTCACTCACATGCCAGACACACACATATGAACACACACAAACACATGCACACACACACACACAGATTTTATTGGCATTGACCGGCACGCTTGGGCACCGAGGCCACAGAGAAAAATCATTAAATCATTAAATCACTGAAAGCCTTGGTACAGCAGGGAGGCTTTGTTGTTCAAGAGATTCCCAACAACAGTAAAGTAAAAATCAATGTGATGTACACCCAGTGTCAGCTGGCACACAGCCAGACAAATTGCTCGGGGGGGGGGGGGGGGATTAGCTGACTGTAGGGAACAGAATTACATTGTGTGTTTGGGGAAAATATGATCAGTTGAGTTGTTTTCTTTTCATGTGATCTGTTGCATTTACCACCTGTTGTTCTGTTCCCACCGTCTTAATACGACACTAACATGGAGTGACCCCGTCTCTGCATGACGACACTGTGAAAGAAGAAGAACAGAATCCACAGACCTCACACACAATTACATATTAAAGTTCAGCTTACTTCCAGTGCAGACTCAGGACCACAGGGATGGAAACCAGCCAAGTAGCGGGGACGTATGGTCACAATCTCCCGAGTAACAGCGTTGAATAACATTATGATGTCACAGTGAAGTTGACCTTGGACCATTCGAATATAAATTTTATCCTATTAGACCTTTGTGTTAAATTAGTCTCATAATTTCACCTTTCGACCTCCAAAATGAAATCAGTTCATCCTGGAGTCCAACTGAATGTTTGTGCCGAATTTAAAGGAATTCCCTGGAGGTGTTAGTGAGATACGGATGTACGACCTGAAAACAGCGCGCAGGCATTAAAAGGCAGAAAGCAAAAGCTACTCGCTGCTCAGGGAAACAAACTGTGCAACTGGGAATGAACCCCGTCTCCTAGAACTTACATTTCCGTACAACTAAACTGCAACAGCACATACATTCTGCAGGACAGGTAATCTCTGGCTGGATCACTTGAATGAAGCTGTACATACAGTAACGGCAGCAGAGGTGGGAGGATGTAGTAGAGGTGGAGACACATGTAGAAATCACAGGGCTAAAACAAAAATGGTTTTGGGTTGCACAGTCTCTCTAATAGATGTTGGTGAATCTCGGTGCCAGTTCGCCTAAACTGAGCTGCAGAGGAACCAAAACAAGCCACGCAGTTGATTGGCAGGCAAGGGTGGCGATGCTCTGCTCGTCTACGTCCTGTCCGTGGCCAAGCAGAAAATTAACGATGCAGCAGCTCTCTGCAGCTCTCTGCCTGTTTATAGCTCTGAATCAAATGAAATATGTCCCTCTTTCTCCTTCCCCTCTCTCCTGTTCTGTCTCCCTACACGGCACATTCGCTGATTTCTCTCCAGCTTCCCTTCACAGCCCTCACATTTCCTCTAGACTTTCTGCTTCCTCTTCTGTTTATTAGTCATGTTTTCTCCCTTCTGTCAAGGCAGCTTTCGAAATTCTAAATTAAACCAAGTTTTTCACCCTCTTCTCCTGTGATTAAAAATGGATTTTTTTTTTCCCCCTCATTCTTTTGTCAAAGAGCCGAAGTTCATCAGACAGGAGGACGGAAAACAGCGAAAGGCCAAAGTGTGTCTCATGAATATGGAACAAAAACAAGGAGCAAGAGAAGAAGCTGTGAAAGGCTTATTGCAGTTTGTGTAGCACCTGGAAGTGGTCCACACACACACACACACACACACACACACACACACAAGGATGCACTCACAGTAACGGCCTCGCATGTACTGTTGTAGTGTCCTAAATTTCATTAAGGCATAATGTTCTGCATAATTGAGGGCGTGTCACCAACGTGTCCAAAGCCTCGGCTCCACACACGCTCCTCCTCGGCACTATGGCGGAGGCAGAGCAGCTCTGAATGTACGAAACAGTGACTGATACACTCAGAGAGATGTTGTATATGTTGAGCTCTTAATTTGAAATTGCTAATAATCTGGAAGACACCACACACACACACACACACACTCAGTGCAGGAGGCTAAGTGGGATAATAAGTGTCGGTCTGTTCTACGTCCGCTGCTCTTGTCAGTCTGAGGGATGAAAGATCTGCTCCTCTCTGCCTTTTCATCCGTCTCATCCTGTTCCTCCTCAGAGGCCGAGTGCGTCCTTCATCTCATTTAGACTCCTGAGACTTTTTGTTCCTTTTCGCTCTCTCTTCCAGTTTCAGTTATTAGTCACTCAGTTTGAGTGAAAACTTGTATCTGCACCATGTGTGTTTGGAGTGTCTTTTTTCTGGAGTGTTTGATCCTCCAGCTCACTTCTGGTTTGGCAGCGACAGAACAACGTCTTTTGAAATGAAATCACCAAGATGCCTTTATATTACACCAGAGAAAGAAGCCTTTTGTGTGAAGCCTTGCGTTTTATATTGTTGGTCAGTTTAGTTCAGCCTTATTTTAAGGTAACGTGCGGAAAAAGTGTCATAACCGTGTGATACAGAAGAACATATATACGCCGTGTCAGACAAGGCATCTTCAGAAAATCGGTGTGGCCCTACTCTGGTTCACCTGCTGCCATTGTGCTGCTCATCACTGTCTCAGCTGCCTGAGGCGTCTGAACTCCTGGTCATCGTCTTATAAGTAACTGGAGACGAAAACCTTTCATTTTAACTCCACGTAGATCATAAACCCTCGATATGTAAACATGACTCATTGACATCCTACTTTTCTTCCACATGCAATCATTACAAAAAACAAACCCTGCAAGCACAACTTTTCCTCAATGATTTGTAGTTCAGCAAATTGAAAGTGAACCGAAAAGGAAATATGAGATACACCAGCTTCGTATTTGCATGCACATGGTGTGGTACAGAGTGTGTGTGTGTGTGTGTGTCTGGGTTTGGGGTCTCTGCATGTGTTTATGTGTGTGAATGATGATCTGCAGTCCCACCACTCACCTGCCTGCAGCGTCGCTTCCAGCCTACACTGCAGATCTCTCTCCGCCTCGCTCGACACGCAGCAGCTCATCTCAGCGGATCAAACCCAGATTCATTCAACTTCCTCCATCCAAACTTCTCTTTCTGCATCTTTTTACTCGACATTATCCCGCAGAAACATAACCAAATATTTCACTTTAGAAGATAAGATGGGGATCTTAAACATTAGTAGATATAAATATTACACTATTGTTAAAACTGAAAGACAAATCTTACATTTCCGTGCAGAAGTAAAAGACAAGCAAGAAATTGGACTTGTGCACCGACTCCATTTCCCTCTATTAGGACCAAATTGCAGGAGTCTTGCCATTTAGTCTTAGTCTGTCACTTCCTTTTGATTCAGGTCATAGGAAACTTTGGGTCATTTAAAATGAAGTGTGACAGATTGGTTCATTCTCTCATTCTAACATTTTCTTTTGGATCCTCTCGCCCACCCGGACTGCTGTTGCACACACCCTGCGAGCAGTGTGATGAGCGTTACTCTGCATCTTTAAGAGCCTGATTGTTTGTCGTCAGTAAAAACACACTGATAAACACAGCTGTGCTTTTTGTTATTGTCCTCAGATAAGACGAGATTCTCTGCTCTTTGCATCTGTGTGAACTTCACATACTATTCCCGTCATATGGCAGCCGCAAGCGAGCTAGATTTTAGAGTGTGTGCATCCGCCAGGCAAACACTCCAACTCTACCCAAGTATTGTGGTGTGTCTAGTAAAGGACCCGCCAAACCTGAACTGGAGCAAAGCAGCAGAAATTCATCTGCAGGCGGAGTGTCGGAGACATCACACACACGTGGGAATCACTGATAAAAACAAACAAAAGAGTTTGAATTTTGCACAGAAATATATTAAAAATGAATCATAATCCAGCACTGACGTGGCTCCAGTAATTTTAGGGCTTTGATCATCTATTAAATCATCTATTTAATTGTGTATTAAAAAAATAATGACAAACACCATTCATATTTGACCAAAATGATATATTCAACCATCAGTTTAACTCTGTTGACGATTTATTCAACCAACAACAATGAAAAACAAAGATTCATGTAATGACAGGAAACCGCACTTAAGCTACTCCAGTAATTAACTTATCAACTAATATCAGTGTTGCTGCATAAGTTCAACTTTATTATATTATACATATTATTTATATTTTTAATTCAAGTAACATACTGTCAAGGAAACACATGAGGCAAATTTCATAGAGTGTACAGGCAGATATGCAACAGTAACTTCAAGGGAAACTTAGTGATTAATGATCTCTATCAACAGTCAGCAGGAAACACATGCAACAACTGCCGGGGTTTGTTTCTTCCTACACGAGCCCACGTCCCCCTCAGAGCAGAGGAAGAGGAAGAACAAAGTCACATTTCCACAACAGAGAGGAGTCGGTGAGATGTCTACAGCCGAGATCCGACAGGACTGAAGTCGGTAAAGCGGTAAAAAAAAAAAAAGCTACACAATACAAGAATACCGGCGTAATAACAGACATATGCAGAAATTTCAGTACCTTGATTTAAAACAAACAAATAAAACAAACAAAAAAATGAAATGAAAATCAAATGCCTATAGTGTTCCATCCTCATCTACATGCACCATCTGTGAGGGATTTCACACCGCCTGGTAGGAGAAGGTGTCGGAGGCTGAAGGATGAAGGTCTCAGATTTCTCTGCCTGGGAAGCGCGGAGTGGCGCTCTGCCTCTCGCAGCCGGCGTCCAGACGCAGCTCTGCGCCAACACGGAGAACTGTGTCATTGTAGGAAAATCAATCAAGATAATCAGGGTGAAACTGGCATCGGCAATTAGATCTTCTTCTGGAAACATCATCTTCATATACTGCTACAGCAACAACTCATGATGGGGACTACAACTCAGATTGTGAATACAGTTGTACCATGATGCAACTTAATGAAGCAATTAAGTTGCATCATGGGAAGTGTAGGATTCCAGTGTTTCTGGTGCTTGAGCCAAACTAGGAACTAAAAGAGAATATCCTTTAATAGACTGATATTGGCTAAAATAAAGCTGATCAATATCCAACCCTTTCTTTATTATACTCTGCTCTCCTCTCGGGCTTTTTTCGGTGCAGCTTTACAATGTGTATCCAGGTGTAAATTACAGTGTGATGTAAGTGAGCAGTAGGTCATATCAGCTGTCACTCGTTTTTATTATTTTTTTAACTCTGTGATTAACTTAACGAGTGTTTCTGTAGTTCCTCAGTAATAATAAGTACTTCAAGTATTTTAAGTATTTAAGTTACTATCATTCTCTATTGCATCATCTGTCATGTCCTTACTCAACATTTCCTCTGTGCACTGATGTATTTAATGGCAGGTTTAAGGTTGTGATTTATAGTTTTGAGTACTTACCTGTTATTGTAGCATGCAGGCCGCCGCCGTTCACAGTCTGATTGGGGTGTTTAGGTTTAGGCTTCACACCGTTGTAAATGTCTTTATTTTTAGGCGTGTAGCGTTGCCACGAAAGAGCAATCAGTTGCGCTATTTGTCTGGCCATGGAGGATTTCTGCGGAACAGGCGGTGGTGTTTTGCGCGGCCGAGCGGTCGCCTTCACCTCCTCTTCATCCGCCTCGCTGAAGACGTCGTCGGACTCGTTCGAGTGGGCGACCGGGCGGAGGTGCACGGCGCACAGATCCTCAAGCGTCACCGCAGGCAGAGGGGCCGGGAGAGATTTGACGAAGGCTGAGGAGTCCGAGTGGTGCCGGCGGGTTGGTTTGGGCCTGAGAAGGGGTTTGGTTCTAGAGGAGGGGTCTTCATTAGGAGTGCTGCCTGATTGAGAAGGCGGGGCAGGACTAAGTTTGGGGTCAGGAAAGACGACGGGGAGGGGAATCTGCAGAGACAGCCTTTTAGTGCGATCCCGCGGGGATGTGAAGCTGGACTTTGGCTGCACCTTCCAGCCCAGAGGGTCGCGGCCCGTGATGAAGGACGTCTGCACGGGAGGAGGGGAGGAGCAGGATGAGCTGGTGGAGGAAAAGGAGGAGGAAGAGGAAGATGAGGACTGACTTGGTGAGCTAAAGACCCCGATGGGGGGGCAGGAGTAGCGTTTGGATGAAGCATCAGTTGCCGAGTGAAGGCTGAGGAGAGACGCTCGTCGTTGAGGAGGCCGCGGCTCCTTCTTGTTCTTCCTCACAACAATGACAGTGGTCAAGCACTTGCTGAAGTCAGCTGACCACCGGCGCTGGTGAGACCCGGGGGTCACACCTGAGGCGGGGACTGTTAGCAGAGAGCGCTCCCCGGGCACCTGGCTGAGTGGTCGGACTTGTCCTGACCTCAGTCTGCCCTTGCAGTCTCCGTTCTGTGATCTGTGGCTCACATGATTAACGTGAGCGTAGCCACCGTTGACGAGGGCTGGGCTAGCAGCGCCATTAATAGCAGCGGTGCCTTTACTCATCTTGTTCGGTGGAAGAGGAAGTCTTTGCCAGGTCCGGTAAATAACCCCTGTGAAGAGTAACATAAAAACATAGAGAGAGAAAGGGGGGAGGATGGGGGGAGGGTGGGGTTATTGTTTTTGAAAAGAGGAACAACAGACGCCCTTCCGGACTTCTCGAATAGAGTTTCATGTTTGTTTCACAACCCAATTCCTTTACACAGCCAAACTAGAGAGGACGTGTCAACACCCGTCAGTCGCGGGAATATTTAAAAGGACTCAATTCATCCACTGACAAACTGAAAAACGACCTATTTTAATTTGAAAAGGTAATTTTGACACTTATATATAGTTACACAAATAATTGCTAAACTACTGTTTAGCTTTTAGCCACAATATTAAGCTACTGTAACAATAGTGCACTCGGAAAAGAGTCAGTAATAAACTGACTCAGTTATATCTTTTATACAATAATATAATAGCCTAAAGTTTTGCTAACATTAACTAGCATTAGCCAACATAAACTAAACATACAAGACAAGCCTGACAGCAAAAAATCCTGGCTGTATTGAGTTTTATTACTTCAATTCAACTTTTCATTTGCAAGAGGAAGATTGTTCATTTTCCCTCACAGGAGTTACACAGTATTGCCATAATTGAACTTACAATATATAGTTGGTTTGATTAAAACACAATATTTTGCATGCTAACTAAAAAAAATAAACATAAAACTCACCTAAAACAGTTCAGATCTAAAAATGTATTACTTAAAACTTAAAAAAGTTTTTTTGCACCCAAACACCTTAAACTGAACACTGGCATGTTGACAGTGTGCACGCCTTTGTGCACGCATGTGAAAGCTAAGTGTAAAACATTTTTTACCTGCAGTGCTGTGTTGCTCTCAGTTCACATCCAGACCTTTCTAATCTCCTTCTTTCACCTCTTTCTTAATATAACACTCTCTGTGTCTCCCCACCCATCCAAATCTGACCACAACTTCCTCATATAAACGCCCAGAAACCCACAGTTCTCATTTCACAAACAAACAAACACACACACACACACACACACACCAGTAAGGGTGGATTAACAGCTGTTTTCATAATAGCATAAAGAACACCGTGAGAAAGTATATACATGTTCATGAGAATCACGTTTCTCACAGCTCAAAGACATTTAAACTGAAGTCTATGACCGACCATAGCTTCACTCTAGCTACTGCTATGAAACTATTTTTAGCAATAATCCACAGCTTCCTCAGTGTAAACTAATGCAAATGTTTTCTACTCTGCATCAGCAACTGATATGAGAAGTAGTGATTTAACTTACAGCCACTCAGTTCACCGAAACCATGAAAGAACACGAGCTCCTTCCTTACCCGGTTCTTTGAAGTCTGAGTTACAAGAACTTTGTGTAGAAACTTGCAAGAAACTTGAGTAAATGAGTTGAGTTCGTGTCCATCGTCTTATCAATCAGTCTCATGATTTTTTGAGACTTGTGCTTTGCGTTGACGCTGACGAAATTTCACAATGAACCACTTTGTGCTTCGCAAACTCACCTGCAGGCAGGAACATTTCAGCCACACCTAGCGGCTTTTGCTTTAGGGATGGCAATGTCGGCCAATCAGGTCGCGCTCTTTGGTCCAGACTGAAGTATCTAAATTCCTAATGGATGGTTTGCCATGACATCAGATATTAATGGTTTTCTAGAGGATGAATCTTAATGATTTTGGAGATCTCTTCACTTTTCATCTACTGACATTTTCGCTTACTCAGCAAAATAAACTTTGATACAGACATTCACAGTCCCCAGATGTACTTTGTTTTCAGTGCCAATTAGAAAATGTTAGCATGCTAACCTGCAAGCAGAATGTAACTCTTTCTTTCTCAAATATTTCTACTTTATAATGATTTAGGACCTTAAAGCCTTTATGTGAAGGCTTTCCTATGATGACATGAAAACACAACAATTCTACATATAGCACCTTTAATATTGACGGAGTGGTTGGTGGTTTACACTTGTATTGTTGTAATAACCACAATAAAAACAGGCTTGGCCATGAAAAAGAGAAAAGATCCTCCCTGGTGACATTATTTCACAGGGATAAATCTGGCAGCCTGTTTCAGCTTTCAACACTTCTTCTGACACAAATTGGTTTTAGTGATTGAAACTTTTTGCTTATTGATTTCAAAGGTGAAGTTCAAGAATCTGTATGTAATGGTTAGACAGAAGTTGCTGCTTTCACCTTTGTCACATTTTGAGGTTGTTTGCATCTTCTGTGAGAGCTAAAAATAAGCGCCGCTCACATGATGATTCTGCAGGAGCCTCCGCAGCCGGTGCATTCAGTAACGTCATTTATCTTTGTACAAAAACGCAGAGGCTGTGCACAAAGTGTCAACCCTGAAAGCTTGTACCAGCGCCGTAAATCTAATGGCGTGTCACGAGCCATCACATGTCGACCGACACATACACGTGTCCTCCTCCCATGCTCCAGCCCGCCGTATGAACTCTGACGCTCGAGCGTTGACAGTGAGACCCTTTGAAGTTTGACGAGCTCAGAAGCTGCGTTCCCTCTCCCACTTCCTCCTAATCCACCCACAGGCCGCCGAGATCTTTCGCGGCTGTGTGAGTAATTGGCAGGTTCGCGTGTTATTGAGATTCGGGGGGGGGGGGGGGGGGCGCTAGGTGAGGGGCTCAGTGCATTAATCTCTGTGTAATGAAATGATGTAAACCACCGGGGAGGCAGCGCAGGATACTGTAAACCTGCGGACGAGGGGAGGGAGGGGGGGATTACCGCCGAGCTGAGTGGTTTTCATGTGATGAAACACAGAGAGAGGGATGGGAGGGATGGGAGGGATGGGGGGGGTGCAGGAGGAAATCTGTGTTTACTGTTCAGCATGTTTGTGTGTGTCTCTGCGTATGAGAGAGAGAGACGTGACCTTTTTCGTGCAGTTTCCATTCGATAACAATAAAGTACATTTGCCTCTGTTCCCCTGCAGTCAGAACTGGTCAACATGTGCTTATTGATGCTTGAAATGTTAACAGCGGCCCTCTGCTCAGCCGGCCATCTCTGCCTATGTTATGTTTGGGGTTATGTTTCTTTTGGCGTCCGACGCCGCTGTTTAAACTTCCAGTTCAGTGATGTGACTAGTTTACTTCTCTCTACTTATCTCGGACAGAAGTTGCGCTTTTGAAATACGACTGTGTTTGAAGCCGGAGGGAGGACGGAAAGATTGTAAGGTCCGACGCTAAGAAGCAAAAAAAAAAGACATTCAGAAATCAGTGTTTTATGTTTCTTTGTTGACAGTGTTGACGGAGAGGTTTCTCACAACGGCTAAGCACAGGGAGGCTCAGCAGAGATGTACTGCACGGCTCTGTGGAAAATGGGGAGATCTGAAGCCTGATCCCTGCAGGTTTACCAGCAAAATGATTAAAAGAAACCTGTCAGTTTCTTGGGGTTTTTTTTTCGTGGAAGGATTCAGCGATCCGAGTGAGACAGCTGGTCCCCGCACTGGAAGGGGTTAGGAGGATTCCTGGAAGTATAAAATGTCACAGATTTTAAATGGTTTTTAAACTGTTTGGTTGAGCAGAGGAGCAGAAGTGTTGGAGCTGCGATAGCTTGCTGATTCTATTTAACTCAGTCTGATTAAAGTTACAGTGAATGTCTGAATGTCTTTAAGGGCTTTTTTTAATTTGCCTAATTAACAAGTTCAGCTGCCTTTACAATCTGACGTATGCCAGCACGGTAATATAATTCATATACATACAATATATAGTAACAAATATATTTTTCCTTGGTAGATATTTTGGTGAAGGACATCTTTTTCCCTTTTTCTTTTTTCTTTCACTTTCGTACTGATGAAATGTCTCGTTTTCCTCTTACACCCTAACAACATCTTCCCGCTCTTCCCTCTCAAACAGTTGCGGTGTTTTGCCATGACCTTGACCTGCTCTTAAACGCTGGCTTCGTTGCATAAACTCTCCATTTCATTACAGCCACCGACCATCTTCTTCCTCTCATTCTCATCCGCTCTTAACAGCAGAATCTCAGAATAGCTCATCGTCCTTCACGATATCCTGTGAACAGAAAATTAAACAGGACTGGAATACAGTGAATACAAATCCTACAATCCTCCTCTGGCTGATTATTTCGTTTCTTTATTATCCTTAAATTCATTTTACTGCCAGAAATTACAACTTTTCAAGATTTTTTAATGCGTAATGGTTGAAAGTAAGATTGGATTTAGATTTAATCACACACACAAAAGCACACACACATATAGTATCTGCTGAGAGAATGTTAAGGGATGGTAATTACCATAACTGAAATGATTTCCATAATCACATGGGCTAATTAGAGACATGAAAGCACGGCAGCTTTGTGGCTGTAATGTAAATTATTGTAGCCTGCATTAATAATCCTATTTTACTCCGAACGCATCGTCATCACGAGACACAGGCGCGCTGCTCAGCTACATGTACGACACTGTGGGGGACTGGAGATAGATAAATAAAGAACAAGAGGGAAGAGCAGTACACGGACCTTTTCACCTCCACAAAGCGACGTCGTTGTTTTGCAGAGCTGATCATTTTTCATTTGTTTTATGAGTTTTACTGTTTGATAATAGTTGAAGTCACTGGTTATTATTCAGCGGCCTGTGGACCCCACTGGTTGGTGACGGTATTGCCGGGGATCCGGGAGAGAAATCGGCCGCATATCGATATAAAATCTTCAAATAAAAAGCGTGTCCAGCTCTCACTCTTTTACTCCCGGCTGCACAGTGGAAGCAGAACATCAGCAGCAGTGGTCTTCTGTCAGTGGATGAGTTCAGCCACAGAGTTTTGTGTGCGAGTCGTAACAAAAACAACTCTTGACTTTTCGGGGTCACGCGTGAAGTGATGATTGTAGACAACTGATGCTGGTGAAACTTAAAAACATTTGTTCTGTCGTAAACCTGTGAAACGAATCTTATCTCTGCCGTGGCTCCGGGATGTCGTGGTCACATTTCACAAGTAGAACATTTTAAAGCAACTCTGTTTCCTAGAAATTGCGCTCATGTATTACTAAACAGTCGTGGTGACAAATGTGATAAATGTAAATACTTTTTAGAGGCAATGAAGGTTTGAATGTTTTACATCGGAGTCTCTTTGGTTAAATGTCAGGAAACATTGTGTCTGAAGCACATAAATGTCACTCCTATGAGTTAGTGTTGCTGCAGGCATCCTGTACTTCTTCCTGTGCTTCAGCAGTGACATTTTCTGGTACTTAAAACATGCCTGTTACTGAATTGCATCTCTATCACTCGCAATAACTGACTCCTAAGAAATTTTAAATATACAGCAGATGCTTCACGGATCCTCAGCCTTGATTGAACTGCTTCAATCCAAACTGTCATCATTTTAAAACATATTATTCACTGTTTTCTGTGCACAGCTATTATCAGAATCCATTTTTACTCATTATCACAAAGTCGCAATAAAAAAAAACATGATTTTAAAAATAAAATGTTACCAATGATTTCTTTAACAAACTGATAAAATGTTAGTAATGTGATTTATTCATCACAACCTCTCAGAAATCAGTGGAATATTTGATATTAGTTTGTGGAAGAAATTATCAACTAGAGCCCGTCTTGCAATGGGATCATGGCTGTACTGTTCCCACAGTCCTCAGTACTCATTACTACATTATTACACAATTCCTCTTCCTGGTGTCGGACCACACCCATCTGTAAACTCTATCTTCACTTTGATCTCAGCTGGTATCCTGAACAGTTGTAACGTTATCGCGCCGACGAATCAGGACAAACATACAAACCGCTGCCAAAACACTCAAAACCACCTCTGTGGCGGTGTCTGCCATGACGACACACACACACACACACACACACACACACACACACACACACACACACACTCAAAAGCTGAAAACACAACCAGCTCAGCTGTCGCAGCTGGTAAATGTTAGCTGACAGTAAAGACAGGCTCGTCCAATACTAATCAGATCTGGAAGGACTGCGACCGCTCGGCGCTCTCGTTTTGTTTTTCTGAGCTGCATTCATCATCTCGCCTTGAGCTGCTCAGTGACTTCGCTGATCGACGGACATTTCGAAAAAAGTTTTGCCTAAAAGTTACCTGAAAAATGGGATGGAAACGCACTTCTGCACGTATGTTATAGTAAACCATGAAAGTGGCGTGTGCGTGTGCATGTCTGGATCAAAGAGTAATGGAGTCCTCCAGAGACACTGAGTGTTTTTTAGCCAGGTCACAGGGAGCCAACAGACCTGGCTTGTAATTGCAAGAGTGAAGCAGAGAAGATCAGAGGAGGAGGGGAGGGCAAGATGAACTGCAGCCAATGTCGAATAAATGAATCGTTTGTCTTTCTTTTTCTCTCCTTCTCTTGATTCATCCATCTCCTCTGTCACCACTCTTTATCTCCAACCCCCACCCCTCTATCTCCTGCACTTTCTCCTTGTCCCTCTTTTCCTTTCTCGGTTTCGGATTTCTTCACCACTCTGTGCTCTCTTTCCATCTGCAGGCGTGGCTGACAGAGATCCACGAGTACGCTCAGCAGGACGTGGTCGTCATGCTGCTGGGTAACAAGGTGAGACCTTGTTGCCAACACTGGGAGATGCAGGGACAGATGGATTCATAGAGGGAGGGGAAGGAGGGTTCGTGGAAGGGAAGTATGGCGGGAGCCGGAGTGTAAGGACAGATGGAGGGATGTGCCTGGAGGCAGAGAGAGAGAGAGGGAGGTACTTTATTATGCATCACAGAGAAAAAGTGACATCTTAGTGGATTGTGATCATTTCCACAGTCACACATCATGTGGAGAAAGTGATAACACTTCTTGGTTAACTCAACAACATTTTAAATTGTGTGTAAACAATCGATCAAATGACTGTGTGTAATGTGAAAAGACCCAGCCATCTCTACAGATCTGCTCCAGTTGATCGAGCTTTTAGCTTTTAGCATCTCCTCAGCCATATTTCCAGATTAAGCAAGTAGCTGTTTTTTTTTTGCTACCCAACACCAAATGGCAGAAAGTCATTGCAGCTACCTGAACCAGTGGAGCGTTAAGAGGAAGATGTAAGTTATTTGCAGCCACGGTGGGCAAGCTGCACTCGGTAATAAACCTCCTGTACACCGTCTGAGGGGGAAAGATGTGGATGCCGAAAAATGCTTCGAACGCTGTGACAGAACTCGGGTTTTTATTGTGTGTCTGATGTGTTGTAGGCCGACTCCACACATGACAGGGCGGTGAAGCGAGAGGAGGGAGAGAAACTGGCCAAGGTGAGCTCCATGACACACACATGCAGTTTGACACATGTGGAGCCCCAAACCCCCCCCCCATGCAGCTGCTGGGTCTTTATTAGTGTGTGTAATTATGTATTCATGGATGCACATCATGCTGTTTTGTTTGGAATAAAGGACGGGAGGGGGGGGGGGGGGGGGGGGGGCTTGCTTGCTAACTTCATTTTCCAGGCCGGTTCGCTCAGATAAGTTCTGAGAGGCAATGTTAGACTAAAATGAACACAAAGTGGTTCGGGAGTTGTCCAGGTAACACACATACACACACACACACACACACACAACACACACACACCACACACACACAGCGGGAATATTGACATGCACACACACACACACACACACAGAATGAGATTAGACCTTGGAGCATCTTGCATCGACTACATACTGAGCTGTCTCTGTTTTATGAATTACAACAAAGGGGGAGAAAATTATATTTGAAGCCAGAACCCATCAGAATTATTTTTGAATTATTGGTATTGATCAGCAGCCCTGTCCTCTGTCTCCAGGTACTCAAAACCCTCGCTCTAAAGCTAAAGCTAAATCACTCATGAACCCTCACACACACACAACACACAACACACACCACATATAGACGTACAAACCACACAACTGATAACATGTTTGTGTGTTTCTCTGTGCAGGAGTTTGGAGTTCCCTTCATGGAGACGAGCGCTAAATTGGACTGAACGTGGAGCTGGCCTTCACCGCTGTGGCCAAGTGAGTCACACACACAGCGCAGTATGAAGAGCGGCAGCGCGGATCCCTGTGTCCTCTGCTGAAATATAACTTTTTATCTTTGAAGGAACACGGCCGTTGTGAAGTCGAGAGCTCGTGCGCTCTGCCTGTTTAAGCTATTAGAACTGGGACGTTGAAATCGGCCGTTCGGTCCCCTGGTAAGATCTGGTGATCCATGAAAGTAGCTTTATAGTCTTAAAGGGAGAGATACAAAACACAAAACCAACAAAACAAATACAAAGTTGAATTCATAAGCAATAAAACGCACCCATGCTCAGTAGCTTATGGAGGGCTAAACGTCGGCTAATGTTAGAGATAAGAAATTGCTGCTGGACATCAAAAACTGACATTACTGGAGTCAGTCTGTTATTTTGTTATTTAATTGTTTGTTTGTTGGCGCTCTCAGCATAGGTATATAAAAAGTAAATAAACCATATAACCAAGAAGTTTCGATGGCAAAATGTAACCAAGCAGCCACTGAAAACTGAAAACAACAAGATAACAAAGTCAAAAAGTTTAGCGGGACATGAAGCTCAGTCTCCTGGGTGATCATGCTAATTAAAGCAAGCTCAACAGAATCTGGGACATTAACCTGTAATAACTTCACAACGTTACACTCCTCCTCGTCGCTCCTCACAGATGTTTTCGTCTGCGCCAAGTCACGTGTTTCATGTCTGTCAGTTTCCCTTCACGTCCTTTTACCCTTAATCATAAATGTTTTACTCTCTTTTTAACCGCTGGTGTGACTCGTGTGATTCCTTTTCATGTTCACTTTCAAGAAATCTGCATTGTTAATGAAGGACCGCGTGAAAGGGGGCTGCTCAACACAACACAGGAACAAATTTAAAACGAGAGCGAGATAGCCAAACTCCAGCAGGTGTGGTACTGACAGGGGAGAGCAGGGTGCACTTCCATTGGTTCCCCCGAGGCCACACATTCAGATACAGTGGGTGACTCTCACGCTCCCACAAATTACAGGTTTGTTCTCTCGACGACAAAAACAACGAAACCAAAAACCAAACAGTCTTATTTGTCTCAAAATAAAAGGTGATGATAATGAGAGTGCTATTTAAAGTGTGTGTCTCACTCGGTTGTGTAGTGTCGGGCAGTTTGTGTGGGAGCTGCCTTGTTAATGGTAACAGGCTGGCATGGCTGGGCGTTGCCAAAGAATAGCATGACAGTCTGGCACATAACAACCTGCAAGATACAGAATCTAAAAACCAAATCTTTTCTTCCTTCTTGTCCTCGCTAGCTCATGGTTTTCACCCTCTTCCGTTTTCCTCTCTCTCTCTCTCTCTGTCTCACTTATCATCCGTCTCTCTCTTCCATTTTCTCTTCCACCTCATCTCACCACACGTTTTGGTTCGTTTCAACTGGCAATGATCCACAAACGCTGAAATTTAAAAGCAACATAAGATCTGATTAACCACCGCGACAAACCTGGATCACTTATGCTGCTCTTTTATGTTTTAGATGTTCTACGTGAATGTTGTTTCTCTTCTAGCACTTGGAGTCGTTTCTGTAGATAGTCTTACATGGTCGTTAAGTCGCCAATGTTGTCAGCTCAGATGAGCTAATTAAAGATCTTAACTCACAGGAATCGTACTCGTTTTGGGTTGAGACCAGGTTTTTATATCTGTCAGCGTAAATTTTGAATGTTGCCACCGTCTCATTGTTGGCCGAGCTAGCAATAGCTTTCATGTCACCCGTCTCTGTGTCCACTGTGTGTGTCCTCAGAGAACTGAAGCACAGGACCATGAAGGAGCCTGACGAACCAAAGTTTCAGCTGCAGGAATACGTCGACCAAGAAATGAGGACGGCTGGCTGCTGCCGCTCATAGACCGCATCCCTATTTGTGTGTGTGATATGCGCATGTGTGTGTAGAGAGAGAGAGAGCAGAGAGAGAGAGAGAGAACAGGTACCATTCTGTTAGAGTATGTTGTAAAATCTGAGATGGTGTGTCTGGGAATAATCCATGAAATTCTCAGTGTTTTGTAATATGTTCTATTAGTGGTGGATATGGCCAATATGCTCTTCTTCCCAGCCCACCTTTCCCTGCAAACTAGTGGATGTAAAATAAATAATTCCTACTGTACCTACATGCTGAACACACACACACACACACACACGCAACACACACACACACAAAAACACACACACACACACACACACACACAACACGCACACAACAACACACACACACACACACACACACCACACGCACACACAGTTTGTCCATCCACTTCATAGCCTGTTTAATGCATTCTGTGCAGTTTTTCATGAGTGTGATGTACATATTTTAAATGTAAGTTTAATTTTGTGCTCTGAAAATCTTTGTAGTTTGTAAAATGCCGTCTTGTTGAAAACTAAAGTATATGGACAAAAAAATATGTTGAATATTAAGTCAATATCATAGATCTTATTGACACATTTGTATTGGATAACCTAATGCACCTTATGTAAGCTCTGTCAAACGGCACTGTGTGCTGTTTGTATGTACAGGATAAAATATGATTACCGTTTTTTAATACTGGCACTTGTGATCATGACTGTCATCGTACTGATTGTCTGTGACTTATGATTTAGGGTCTTGACATTTTATACACCAGATTGTTCAGTTCAAGAGTTCAAAGCTGCTGTGTGAAGAGCGTTTTAATCTCTCTCTGTAATTATCACATTCATGTAATAAAACGGCATCGTCAGTAAAAGCCCGTAGGTGTCGACCGACCACGACTGTGCTCGAGGAC